TTTGGAGGGCAGTATTTGAATTCCAAATCACCTTGATAAATCGCAGAAAGGGTCTGAAATCAACAAACTGAAATTCAGTAAAGACAAGTGCAAAGTCCCATACTTAGGAAGCAAATTCTCCAGCTCTAACTTGCAGGGGTGGGGCTTTGGATTCACGTGCCAAATTTACATTGTTGTGATGATTATATCACTATTTTGTTTTGTATGTCCTGGTACATTTTCTCATAATTTTGCTGCATATATAGTTTTTGAAGGGATGTACATGTATTCTGTTTTTGAGGTGCAATGATTGGAGGGACATATATCTCCCAGCTCTGTGGAACTGAGATGTGTGTGGGACTGAAAGACTCACCACAGAAAATATCCCTGTTTCCTGGCCCTTCTCCCCTATAGCTCCTAACCCTTCTGTTTACATTTCGGACACTAACAAAACAGCTGCCTATCTCTTTATTAGCAACTTATGGTCAAGATGAAATTTCTAAAAAGTGTGTGCATATGGTTGAAAGTCCAGTCTTAAAGGGTCCCTCAGAAGATTGTCCTCGGTCCCATACTATTAATTTCATTAATGACTTTGGTAATGTTGTAGAAAATATACTTTTACAATTTGAGAATGACACCCAACTGGGAGGTGGTGTAAGAATTTTGAAGGGCAGGATTTGAATTCAAAATCACCATGACAAATCGGAGAATTGGTCTGAAATCAACAAGATGAAATTCAATAAAGACAAGTGCAAAGTCTTATACTTAGAAAAGAAACAGTGCTACTCTGATCGGCACCAGTGAGGCCTCACATGGAATAATGCAGAGGTAGGCAACCTATGGCATGCATGCCAAAGGCACGCGAGCTGATTTTCAGTGGCACTCACACTGCCCGGGTCCTGGCCATCGGTCCAGGGGACTCTGCATTTTAATTTAATTTTAAATGAAGCTTCTTATTTTAAAAACTTTATTTACTTTACATACAACAATAGTCTAGTTTTATATTATAGACTTATAAAAAGAGACCTTCTAAAAACGTTAAAATGTATTACTGGCACGCGGAACCTTAAATTAGAGTGAATAAATGAAGACTCGGCACACCACTTCTGAAAGGTTGCCAACCTCTGGAGTAATGTGTCCAGTTCTGGGTGACACACTTTAGTGGGAAAAATGTGGATCAGCTGGAGATAATCTAGAAGAGATTTACAGAGATGATGAAAGGGTTAGACTGAAGCTATGAGGAAAGGCTAAAGAAAACTGGGCTTGTTTAGTCTTGAGAAACCAAAAACTGAGGGCGGCTGTTATGTATGTTCAGGGCTCTTGTACAGAGGATGGTGATCAATTGGTCTCCATGCCCACTAAAGGTAGGTTAAGGTATAATTTGCTTAATTACAAGAAGACAGATTTAGGTTAGATATCAGCATAATTTTAGGCTTGATTTAGGCTTTCAAGGGAGGTTCTGGAATCCGTGTCACTAGAGGTTTAAGAACAGGTTAGTCAAACATCCGTCAGCCCTATATTTCGAGGGCTCTATGTTTCCGTATACTATTAAGGGCAGAGCAACACATTCAAGTTGAAAGTCATGAGTAACAAGAGACTAATCCCTCCCCTTTACATCCACAGAAGACCTACACAATTATATTAACCAGTTAATGTACCTGATGCTCTTCTTAATTATGGGCATGAGTGGGACTGATTAGTGCATAGGGTTGGTACAGGCCATCTGCACAGGGGAGAATTTCACCCAGAGTGCATTGGAAAGAAAGATTGCAAGGGAAAGGAAAACCAGAAGGCCGATACTATGATGCAGCAAAAACTTTTAATGGGACTGAGCAGCAGAGTTTACACTCACAGAATGAATTAATGCAGAGAATGTATTTTCCGGATTACAATAAAAGCTACAACCAGTCACCAATGCAATCAAAAATCCAGTATTTCACGCAAGATGTTCTGTTCTCTTTCTTGCAGGTGCAGAGTTTGAAAATCATGTCAAGTTTCCAACCAAATTAAGTCACTTATGATAGACCGTTCAGCATCAAACAGGACACAGCACAATATGAGCATAAGACTAAACTGCAAAACCACTAGACCATAAAGCAAAGGTAACATATAAAAAGAAGAAGCCACAGACAGGCCGGATTTATACAGATGATGAACACCCACAGCCCCCCGTGATTTCAAGTGGAGTGGTAGGGTCTTACTTTCCATTAGCTGAGTGGTGAATCTCTACCTTGTCTGTCATTTCCTTGTTTCTTGTTCCATGGATCTTTCTTCTGGGTTTAACATGGGCCACAACTTCCAAAGCAGGAAGAATAGGGAACAGAGGAAACATAACACGCTGCTGACAATGGAATAGGAGAATCACCGTTGGTGTTATATGGTAATGTGGGCTATGTAGGTCCCTTTTTGCGGGCTACATATCTGGGTATTCTTATACACATCCACACCAACCAGCCAGCTCCCAGTATTGCTGACATAGTTGCTCTTAGCTGTCTTTTCTGTGAGGTCCAAACTGGTAGGTGCACACTGAGAATACCTACTGGATTGGGACCCACAGGTAAAATAGGAAAGTGAATGCCTACTCTCAGGATCTGCCTGGGAGTAAAGGGGAAGTTAGATGTCTTAGTCTCTCCGTGGATTTGGTTTCAGGAAATTAAAGGCTTGATAAAATTAGCAAGTGCTGAGCCCCTTTGAAATTCTGTTACTATTGGAGTCACCCAAGATCACACAGGAAATCTGTGCCAGAGAACAGGTCCCAAATCAGATTTTTGGAGGCCCTATTTGTGCTATGTCCACATGAACTTCCGTTCCCATCAAGCCCTTGAGGATGAGTAAAAATCATCAAGTCTCATTACTAAACCCACAATAGATAATATTTCCATCATGGATGCCTGCGATTTTCAAACCATTTAGATAATTATAGCACAGAATAGCATGGAGATGCAGTAGATTATTCACATGTTCTTGTTAAACCAGTTTAACACAGGGTCTAAACCATCATACTTACCTTTCACTCAAATGTGCTACTTTGACTTGCACCAGCCAAAGACCTAGACCTAAAATGGCGAGTTGTAACAGTAAGAAACTACATATTGCATCAGGTCAGTGGTCCATCTCACCCAGGATATTATCGCTAGTAATGTGCAGCATCACAAGCCTCAGTTTAAGGTATAAGAATCCTGAAGTTGTCCACTATAGAGTAAACTGCCCTTAAGGTGACTTTATTCCTAATCCACCTAAAGTAGAGGTTAGCTTTGCCCTGAAGTTCAACACATACATATCCCTTCCAAACTCTGAGTTTCTTCTATACGTAGAAGCTCGATCTGCTAACCTGACTAGGACAGTAGAGGTGCTGTTCAATTGTTATATTTCAAACCTGATCTCCACCGCTTTATGGAAACAGCAGGGTCAGATCAGCAGCCCAGGTAACCCATTGTGATTCCAGTGAAGTCACCCCAGGAGCTGGCAATGTGTAGTTACACATAGAGAGTCAGAGTTGTGCAGTCTATTATCCACGTCATCTGAGGCTGAGATTTTTCATAATAGTCTAAAGCATTTCCAAACCACAATTATACTTACTAGGAACTGGGGTCCCATCCCATATGTGGATTTGAAAATCCCAACCAGATATTTTTAAAGACGGCATGTGCCAATACCCACAATTGACTTGCTACAGAAAGTCTCCTGTGTAAACAAAGATGCTTTCTGTGTCAGCAATACTAACATCATAGAGTATTTGCGAAGAGGGAAATATAGTCTTTTTGAGAGTCATTTATTTATTCCCAATCTATTAGAGACAAGTGTAACAAGGGAGTAATTCCCTCCTGTGCAGAGAACCTACACAGTGCTATTGGCCAATTCATATACTGATTCTCTTCTTTCTTTTGGGCATTAGTGGGATTGATATAGTGAATAGAGGTTGCGCGGACTATCTGCACAGGGGAGAATTTCATCCAGAGTGCTTTGGAAAGAAAGAAAGAAAGAATGGAGGGGAAAGGAAAACCAGAAGGCCGATAATATGATGCAGCATCATTTTTAATGGGAACGAACATCAGAGTTTGCACTTACAGAATGAATTAATGCAGAGTACAGAAATGGTATTTTCAGGGTTACAAAGAGAGCTTCCACCAATCACCAGCTGCAGAGTGATGCATGTCACACAATCTGTTCTGCCATCTTGCAGCCAGCCACGCAGTGTGAAAATCATCTCACATTTTCCACCAGATTAAGTCACTTGTGGTAGACTGTTCAGCATCAAAAAGGACAAAGCATAATATGAGCGTAAGACTAAACAGCAAAACCACTACACCATAAAGAAAAGGTAACATATAACGAGAAGAAGCCATACAGAGCCCTGGATTATATAGGCAATGAACACACACAGCCCCTAATGATTTCGAGTGGAGCTGTAGGCTCTGATTTTCCATAAGTTGAGTGGTGAATCTCTCTCTTCTCTTTCATTTCCTGGTTGTTTCTTCTTCTATGGTTCTTTTTTCTGGGTTTAACATGGGCCACAGCTTCCACGGCGGGAAGAATAGCACCTCCCACCATATCGCCTCCCATACCCGCATAAGCCACCATAGCCACCCCCGTATCCACCACCATAACCACATAAGCCCCCATAACCATATGAGCCTCCATAACTGCTTAAGCCCCCATAACCATAACCACCCTCTAAAGCACCCCCATATCCACTACCATAACCAATTGGGCCACCCAAAGCACCACCCCCAAATGAGCCCCCAGCTCGGTAGGGTAGAGCTGGTAAGGTGCTTCCCACTAGGCTGTGTTGAGGACAAGAAGAGAGAATTGGTCCTGGGAATAGCACGGAAACCGGTGGTGGATAGACCACTGCTGTTGAATCTGCACACGAGGTGATACAAGGCTCATTGCGGGCAACAACACATGGATCTGGGCATATGTCAGGATAACACGGGCTGGGTCGGCAAGACAGGTCTTTGCAGGAAGACATTTTTTGTGATTGTCGTAAACCTGAAACACACAGAAGGGAGCAGGAAACTTAACACGCTTTAGGTAGAGCGGCTGTTCAATAGTTATATTTCAAATCTGCCCTCCATGGTTTAATGGAAACAGCAGGGTCAGATCATCAGACCAGGCAACCCATCGTAATTCCAGTGAAATCACCCAAAGCGCTGGCCATGTGTATTTACACATAACGTGTCAGAATAATACAGTCTATTATCTAAGGCTGAGATTTTTCATAATTGTCTAACGAATTTCCATGTCCAATCCCAAATTATAATTATTGGGAACGGGGGTCCCAATCCCGTATGTAGATTTGAAAATCCCAACCAGATATTTTTAAGGTCAGCAGGTGCAAACGTCTACGACTGACTAGCTACAGAAAGTCTCCTATGCAAAGAACGACGCCTCCTGTCCCAACACTTGTAAAATCATAGCGCACCGGACTTAGTTCAAAATTCAAACGATTAATAAAGAAGAAATTGGTGGCAGTTGGAGCCAAAGAAACTTACCAAGCTCACCAAGGAGAGGAAGTCAAGAGAAGTGGATAGAACAACCTGGAGTTGCAGGCACTTTTATACACTTTCTTAGCCAATGGGAAGGATAGTAAACACCCTCCATGCACTCGGACCTTGTCATTAACCCCAAAAACTATTTTCTTGAATGGGCAACTCCTCTAATTATTGTAATAGCTTTGATCATAGTTAATGATTACTAGTCAATTCACTGTCCCACATAGGATGACATGCATGCTACTACTTGTACCCTTTCATCCTGAATCTTTATGGGCCTGATATCTTCATGGGATTATCCCACTGACTTTCTTGGTGTCAACATGGGAATCAATCTAGCCCCAGTTCTTTCATTCTGCTTTGAAGAACTTCAGAGTATGAGGGTGACTCAGAAATGTATCACTTGTACAATCTGCTGTCATGGACAAGATTCCATGTTAGTTCTTTATATCCAAACTAGTATCTAATTAGCACAAGGCAGAGTTTACCCTTGGAACTCCTTGGAGGAACAGAGGCATTAATCTGCATGCTTGGAATACCTACCCATAACTATTCCCAAACATGTGTTTGCGCCAACATGCTTTTGAAATCCCTGGATGTCTTTCTAACCAGGTCAATGGCCTTCAAATCAGGCCTTCTGGCTTACAATACTCTCCTGGATTCACAGCCAATACATGACCTATTAAAAACCTCAGAACCTGCTAAGCTTTCAAAGTAGACCTGAAGCAGGATTGAATAGGTACATATGTCTTTGTGTTCTACCTGTGCCCAATAATGACATTAAGCCTAGTGCGCTTAGACATTCCAATCTGAAGTGAAGTCCTGTCAAGTGATCAGTGCTTTAGAGTCACAACTCAGGTGATGATCACAATAGAGCACATAAGGTCTACTTAATGCACTCATTCCCCTGAGTTGCAGCGAAAAGTGGCAGTAGGTGAAAGGAAAAAGTGCAATGTTGTATTAAAGCTTGGGATGAAAGTCTTGGAACTGCATCTCCATCCAGGACCTAAGAGGACAATGATGTTCTTCTGGGACAATGCTGCTAAGAAAGCCCAGGAAGAATCACATGACAGATGGAAATGAAGTCCACTGTCACAAACACACCGAATAAATTTGTTCTCCCACAGATATCAAGAACACAACAACAAAGTCACTTTTGGGATTCAGGACTCCCAGGCAATTACTTCAGTAAAGGAGTCTAATGTCTTTTAATGTAGCTTGACATACAGCACCTCAAATGACCTTCATTTTTTAAAGTGAATTGGCATGAGCATGACAAAAGTGACAGAACAAGGCAATCTTGAACTTCTGCCACCCTTTTGGATTTACTCTTGATGGAGCTCTCGAGCCCTGCTCTGGCACCATTTTTACACCCACGTTGCAGTACTGTAAAGGAAAACACTAGCTTCAGGGTGGTGGAGAATAAGGCACTTTGGTTTCATTTCAGAACACATTCTGTAAGTAGTTAGGACCTGAGGTGCATGTGAAAAACCAACAGAACCAACCATTTGCCCTGTATTTCGATCAGAGGTCTCATCCGACAGCAAAGTACAATATAGTCTTATAGCAGGGTAATATGGGAGGGAGAGTTCAATAAAAAGGTCTCTGCTCCCAGTGAAGCTGCCTCGATTTCCAGCCAATTTGCCGAGGGATTTCACTCTCAGAAACAGAGTCAACCCTCAAGCTTGTGACGAACAAACAAAGGAGCAAATTCTCATCTTCAGCTGGTGTAATCTTGGCGTTACTCCGTAGAGGACAAAAGAGCTATACTGGATCTCTGCAAAAGCAAAGGAGAACAGAATTCTGACCTGTGCCTTGTACCAGAGGCAGGGCCAATCTAAGCCTTTAATCTATCCAGTCTATGCATTGAAATCATGAATTTCTCAAACTGCCTGTGTTATTGAGGGCCTGAGTTTCGGGCTCCCAACTTGGGAAACATTCATGGAGTTCCCTTTTCAGAATGTGCGTGCTGAGCAATATCAGAAAGTATCTCTAGTTGAGCACCCAGGATGTGAGGCATCACAAATCACTCGTCCCTTTTGAAAATCTTGACCTTGGCGCTAGCTATAGATTTCCTGAGTGATCTTGGTCAAAGCAATAACTCTAGTCTCATATGTAACACTATGTCTTTTCTCCCTTGGCCGTCCAATGCTGTCCTGCAGCGGGGTGTTGACCTGCTAGGTTAGATTTGTTTTCCCTGGATGGATGCCCAGGGCTTCTTGCTCCTCTCCATCAATTATAGCCAGCTTGGCATTGGGTAATGGTATGAGTATCGCCTCTGGCTCTAAGGAGCCCTCTGATTGGCTTGGAGATAGCTGCATACGTCTCTACCCCTTTGCTTCAGCCTGAGAAGGAGCAAATAGCGATTTAGTCTTTCTTTTGAATGTAGAAATGTTGGAATGTGTGGAAACCCAAACACAATCTGACTTGACCTGAAAATTTGGCTCGAAGCAGCCATGTGCTGGTGGGCAACATTTAGAGCAAGCTATTGTTTTTATCCTCAGCAGATTGAATGGGCACATATCTGCTGAATCTATATGGTTCTGATGTTGATATCACTATCTGGTTTTCTTTGTGTTGTGTATGTGCCAATATAATGCATCATAATTTTGTAACATACAGTAGAACCTCAGGGTTATGGACACTGGAGTTACCAACTGACCGGTCAACCACACACCTCATTTGGAACCAGAAGTATGCAATCAGGCAGCAGCAGAGGCAACAACAACAAGAAAAAGCAAATACAGCACCGTGTTAAACATAACTACTAAAAAAGTTAAGGGAAAGTTTAACAAAAAATTGACAACTGTTCTGTGCTTGTTACATTTAAATGAAGATGGTTAAAAGCAGCATTTTTCTTCTGTAGAGTAAAGTTTCAAAGCGGTATTAAGTCAATGTTCAGTGGTAAACTTTTAAAAGAACCATCCTCATGCTTTGTTCAGCGTTACGAACAACCTCCATGCCCAAGCTGGTTACAATTCTGATATTCTACTGTCTGTGGTTTTTGAAGGGTCGCACATATATTCGCTATTTGAGGTGGGGTGATGGGAGGGATATATATCTCCCAGCTCTCTGGAATTGAGATGTAGATGGCACAGAAAGACTCTCCATTGAGAATACCCCTGCTTCCTGGTCTCCCTCCCCTTTAGCTCCCAATCCTTTAATTTACAGCTTCAGACACTAACAAAACGTCTGGCTAGCTCCTTCCTAACAATTTATCCTTATGCTTCTTTATGAGTTTAGTAATTCTCACAACACCCATCTGAAACAGGTCATTATTATCTTATTATCTAAGAAAGTGATCATTGATGCTTTCAGCCTAATTCATTTGCCCAAGGCCACTCCAGTGGAAAGCCTGGGACTGGAACTCAGGAACAGCTAATTACTAATAGTCTTGTTAGTTATAATTTGAACTCTAATATCTCCAGGATACCAGCCGTGCTCTCAGGGCCCCATTGTCCTGCTCAGTATATGAACTCAGAGTGTATGCTGCATTATGAACACATTATGACAAACAATAACAAGGGGATTACTTTAACTTACTTCTAATAGCGGATAGGAATCTGAGGGTGAAATATGATTCTGAAATATTGTAGAAAAGTGGAATTTTCTTTTATTTATATCAGCTTGGGTCACAAGCCTTCAGGGACTTGCACAAGTCCTTAACTTGAATTGTGTGAACAGCCTCATTGAGTTCAAACCATCAACTCAAACACTTGAAACAAAGAATGTGAATATGTATCGCAGGAAGGAAGATGTAGAGATTTTTGTGGGGCACAAAACAAGCCAAGTTTAAGAGTTTATTAATGAGGTGTCGGAGGAAATTCATTATTCAATTAAAAACCTTTTCTGATTTTTTATAAGAATAGCACTCATACTTCCTTAAAGGTTATAATACATTAGGGAAAAGACATTACAAGTGCTGTCCACTAAAGATAGGAGAAGGAAAAGTCTGGAAAAGAGAAGACTGAGAGGGGAAACGATAACAGTTTTCAAGTAAGTAAAAGGTTGTTAAAAGGAAGAGGGAGAAAAATTATTCTTCTTAACCACTGAGGATAGGACAAGAAGCAACGGGCTTAAATTGCAGCAAGGGAGGTTTAGGTTGGACATTAGGAAAAACTTCCTTACTGTCAGGGTGGTTAAGCACTGGACTAAATTGCCCAGGGAGGTTGTGGAACCTTCATCATTGGAGATTTTTAAGAGCTGATTAGACAAACCCCTGTCAGAGATGGTCTAGATAATATTTAGTCCTGCCATGAGTGCAGGGGACTGGACTAGATGACCTCTCGAGGTCCCATCCAGTCGTATGATTCTATGATAATCTGCAACAAGGGAGATTTATGTTATATATCATCGTAAACTTTTTAAATATCATGACAGTTAAGCTCTGATTTTAGGCTTCCAAGGGAGACTGCAGAATCCTCATCACTGGAGGTTTTGAAGAACAGGTTAAATAAACACCTGTTAGGGATGGTCTAGGTGTACTTGGTCCCACCTTAGTGCAGAGGGATGGACTATATGACCTCTTGAGGTCTCTTCCTGCCTTATATTTCAAACAATTCTATGACTCTACAGAATATTTAGAAGAGGGAAATATAATCTTTTTGAGAGTCATTTATTTATTCCCATTCTGTAACAAGGGAGTAATTCCCTCCTGTGCAGAGAACCTACACAGTGTTATTGACCAATTCATGTACTGATTCTCTTCTTTCTTATGGGCATGAGTGGGGATGATACAGTGCATAGAGCTTGTGTGGACTATGTGCACAGGGGAGAATTTCACCCAGAGTACTTTGGAAAGAAAGAATGGAGGGGAAAGTAAAACCAGAAGGCCGATAATATGATGCAGCATCATTTTTAATGGGAACGAACGTCAGAGTTTGCACTTACAGAATGAATTAATGCAGAGTACAGAAATGGTATTTTCAGGGTTACAAAGAAAGCTACAACCCATCACCAGCTGCAGAGTGATGCATGTCACACAATCTGTTCTGCCATCTTGCAGCCAGGCACGCAGTGTGTAAATCATCTCACATTTTCCACGAGATTAAGCCACTTGTGGTAGACTGTTCAGCATCAAAAAGGACAAAGCATAATATGAGCGTAAGACTAAACTGCAAAACCACTACACCATAAAGAAAAGGTAACATATAACAAGAAGAAGACATACAGAGCCCTGAATTATATAGGCAATGAACACCCACAGCCCCCACTGATTTCGAGTGGAGCTGTAGGCTCTAATTTTTCATAAGTTGAATGGTGAATCTCTCTCTTCTCTTCCATGTCCTGGTTGTTTCCTCTTCCGTGGTTCTTTCTTCTGGGTTTAACATGGGCCACAACTTCCACGGCGGGAAGAATAGCACCTCCCACCATATCTCCTCCCATACCCGCATAAGCCACCATAGCCACCCCCGTATCCAGCACCATAACCACATAAGCCACCATAACCACCCCCGTATCCAGCACCATAACCACATAAGCCACCATAGCCATATGAGCCTCCATAACCGCTTAAGCCCCCATAACCATATGAGCCTCCATAACTGCTTAAGCCCCCATAACCATAACCACCCTCTAAAGCACCCCCATAGCCACTACCATAACCAATTGGGCCACCCAAAGCACCACCCCCAAATGAGCCCCCAGCTCGGTAGGGTAGAGCTGGTAAGGTGCTTCCCACTACGCTGTGTTGAGGGGAAGAAGAGAGAATTGGTCCTGGGAATAGCACGGAAACCGGTGGTGGATAGACCACTGCTGTTGAATCTGCACACGAGGTGATACAAGGCTCATTGCGGGCAACAACACATGGATCTGGGCATATGTCAGGATAACACGGGCTGGGTCGGCAAGACAGGTCTTTGCAGGAAGACATTTTTTGTGATGGTCGTAAGCCTGAAATACACAGAAGGGAGCAGAGGAAACTTAACACGCTTTAGGTAGAGCGGCTGTTCAATAGTTATATTTCAAATAATAGGGATCTGGGGCAAAATCAGTACTTGGCCCTGCTAGTGAAGGTAGGGGGCTGGACTCGATGACCTTTCAAGGTCCCTTCCAGTTCTAGGAGATAGGATATCTCCATTTATTTATTATTTATTTATTTTTATAAATCTGCCCTCCATGGTTTAATGGAAACAGCAGGGTCAGATCATCAGCCCAGGCAACCCATTGTGATTCCAGTGAAATCATCCAAAGCGCTGGCAATGTGTATTTACACATAACGTGTCAGAATAATACAGTCTATTATCTAAGGCTGAGATTTTTCATAATTGTCTAACACATTTCCATGTCCAATTCCAAATTATAATGATTGGGAACAGGGGTCCCAATCCCATATGTAGATTTGAAAATCCCAACCAGATATTTTTAAAGTCAGCATGTGCAAACATCTACGACTGACTAGCTACAGAAAGTCTCCTATGCAAAGAAAGATGCCTCCTGTCCCAACACTTGTAAAATCATAGCGCACAGGACTTAGTTCAAAATTCAAAACTATCAATAAAGCAACAATTTGCAGCAGTCGGACCCAGAGAGACTTACCAAGTTCAGCAACAAGTCAAGAAGAAGTCAAGAGAAGTGGATAGAACAACTTGGAGTTGCAGGCACTTTTATACACCTTCTTAGCCAATGGGAAGGATAGTAAACACCCTTTATGCCCTCAGACCTTGTCATTAACCCAATAAACTATTTTCTTGAATGCACAACTCCTCTAATTATTGTAACGGCTTTGATCATGGGTAATGATGACTATTCAATTCACAGACCCACATAGGATGACATGCATGCTACTACTTGTGGTTCTCTTTTATCTTGAATCTTTATGGGCCTGATATCATCATGGTATCATTCCAATGGATTTCTTGGTGTCAACATGGGACTAAATCTAGCTCCATTTCTTTAATTCTTCTTTGAATAATCTCAGACTATGTGGGTGACTCAGGCTTGTATCACTGGTACAATCTGCTGTCATGCACAATATTCCATGTTAGTTCTTTATATCCGGACTAGTATCTAATTAGCGGCAAGGTGGAGTTTACCCTTGGAACTCCTTGGAGGATCGGAGGTATTACTTAGCATGCTTGGAATACCTACCCATAACTATTCACTATGTGTTTGTGCCAACATGCTTTTCAAATCAATGGATGTCTTTCCAATCAATGCAATGGCCTTCAAACTAGGCCTTCTGGATTACAATACTCTCCTGGATTCATGGCCAATATAAGACCTATGAACGACTTCAATACCTGATAAGCCTTCAAAGTAGAGCTGAAGCAGGACCAAAATGTTGAATATTTTTTTATGTTCTACCTGTCCCCAGAGATGACATTCAGCCTAATGGGTTTAGGCATTCCTGTCTGAAGAGAAGTGCAGTTAAGTGATCAGTGGTTTAGAATCAAGGACTCAAGTGACGATCAAAATAGAACACACAAAGTCTACTTAATGCAGACATTTCCCGGAGTTGCAGCAAAGAGTGTCAGTAAGTGAAAGGAAGGAGTGCAGTGTTGTAGAAAGGCTTGGGATTAAGATCTTGGAATTGCATCTCCATCCAGGCCCTAACAAGACCGTGCTGTTCTTCTGGGTCAATGCGCCTGACAAAGCCCGGAGGAATCGCATGAGAGATGGAAACGAAGCCCACTGTCACAAACACACCAAACGAGTCTTCAGTAATGGAGTCTAATGTCTTTTGATGTTGCTCGACACACAGTACCTCAAATGACCATCATTTTTTACAGTGAATTGGAGCTACCATGGCTCGAGATAACAAAAGCTACAAAATCTGCAATGTTGAATCTCTGCTGCCTTTTTGGATTCACTCCTGGTGGAGCTCTCGGGCTCTGATATGGTACCATTTGTACACCCTCACTGCACTAATGTAAAGGACAACGCTAGGTTCGAGGCAGTGAAGAATTAGGCCCTTCATTTCTATTTGAACATGCATTCCCTGAACATGTGGATCCTGAGGTCCATGCAAAAAATCAGTTGAACCAACCGTTTGCCCTGCATTTCCATCAGAGGTCTCAGTTGACAGCCGTGTACAATGCAGTCTTATAGCAGGGTAATATGGGGGAGAGTTCCATAAAAAGGTCTCTGCTCCTAGTGAAGCCACCTCGATTTCCAGCCACTTTGCCGAGGGATTTCACTCTCAAAAACAGGATCACCCCTCAAGCTCATGAGGGGTAAATTTTCATCTTAAACTGGTGTAAGTCTGGAGTTACTCTGCAGAGGTCAAATTAGCTACGCTGGGTTTCTACAAGCGAAAAGAAGAACAGAATCCTGACCTGTGTCTTGTACCAGAGGCAGGGCAAAACCAAGCCTTTAGTCTCTCCAAGCTATCTATTTAACCATAATTTTCTAAAGGAACTAGTGTTATTGGATGCCTGAGTTTTGAGCTCCCACACTTCCCTATCCCCTTTGTTTCAACTTTAGTAGGAGCAAAGGATTATGTCGTCTGTATTCCTGTTGCAGAAAAGTTGGAATGGGTGGAAATCCAAACACAATTTGGCATGACCTGAACATTTGGCTTGATGCGCCCATGTGCTGATGAGCAAAATTTAGGGCAAACAATTGGTTTAATTCTCAGGAGATTGTACTGGCATATACCTGCTGAATGTACGTGGTTGTGATGTTGACATCACGATTATGTTTTCCTTGCATGGCACATGTTCCAGTACATTTTGTTATAATTTTGGAGCACATGTAGGGGTGCATGTTTATTCGGGACTTGAACTGGGGAGATGGGATGGATATACATCTCCCAGCTCTGTAGAATTGAGAGAATATCCCTGTTTCCTGCTCCTCGTCCCCGATAGCTCCTAATCCTTGCGTGTACAGCTTCAGACACTAATAAAAAGGTGCCAATCTCTTTCATAGCAATTGATGGTTTCGCTGTTTTATGAGACCAGCTGTTCTCACAACACCCATATGAAACAGGTAGTTATTATCTTCTTACCTAAGAAAGGGATCACTGATGCCCAGAGCCTAACTGAGTTGCCCAAGGCCACTCTGGTGGAAAGATTAGGAAACTCAGGCACATCTAATTCCTAATAGTTCAGGGCTCCACCGTGCTGCTAGCCCAGGGTCTGAGACAGTCCCCATCTCAAAGAGTTGATGAACCAACTAGACATGACAGAAAGGGTGGAAGGAAGGTTTATCATTCCCGTTTTACCGACAGGAAGGTGATGAAGAGGGAGATGAAGGGCAAGGCTTTCAATACCGGTAAGCACACTGAGTGTTGAGCTCTTCTGAACATCTGGCCCCAACTGACTTGTCCAACGTCCCACCGACTATGAGCAGCAAAGCTAGTAAAATGGAACTCAGATTTTCTCTCTCTCAGTGCCTGCATGGCCTTATCCACAAGATCATTCATCCTCTCTAAGGTCCCCATCTGTTGTTCAGTTCTCTAGGCTTCATTGTGGCGTTTGTTATTCTCTTTTGAGATCGACGTCCTACAGTTCCCTTGAAATTTTCTGGTAAAACCCACAGCAGAATGAAATCCAATGACAATATTTAGGTTAAATCCCTGGCTGTAAAAAGTAAGCACATGGCAGATTTAGAATATTGCTATCGCAGACATATGGAACTTTGAAATTAATGTGGACAATTATAACATGGAGCAGGGTGGAGACAGTGTTACTCATGCCAGTGCTTTTGTTAGGACTGAATCTCAGAATGCAAACCAGCCCTGTGCAGAGTCAGAATCCAGTACCTCAGTTTCTAATTCGTCTGTGTTAGCAATTGATGCTAATGAATAAACAAAAAAATGTTCTTTTGTGAAAAGAGATCACTCAGCTTATGCAAACCTTCATAGTTGACTTTCCTTCAATGGGGCTACACCACCTTATATCAGCTGAGAGTGTGGATCTTAAATTGCAATTTATACTCATATGAATTAAGAAATTTCCAGACTTGATTCAACCACTTGTCCATGTCCTTTAGTGTTCTGTCTCTTCTAGAATAAAGAAACAGAAACCTCCGAAAAATTATGAAGAAGGACAACGGTGTCCAATATAGAAGAAAATGCCATTTCTTCTTTTTCTTCTTCAAATTTTCTTCATTACACCCCAATGTTAGAAAATCTCTTTGTCAGGCTCTCTCTAATTATACTTGAATAAATATGAAAGACAATCACCATAGTTAAATGGAAATAGTAGGGTGAGACCCTAAGCTGGAGTAAATATGTTGACTCACATGAGTTAGCCAAGTATGTTTGCACGTACACAGAGTAATGTCAAATATCAAAGTAGCCTCACATTTTTTTTTTCTTCTCTAAGGATACGAATGCCCAATTCTCATGTAAAATTAAGCAGAATTAGTGCTCTCGATAGGCTGTGTGGCTTTGAAATTAGCTGTTTTATATTTTTAAATACCAAGTCCACCAATGCCTGCAACTTACTAAGTAAAAAGAAACTTTTATGGAGAAAAAAACCCTTAACCATGCCAAGAATCACAAAGTTCTCTGCAAGAATCAGTCAGAAGTTAAACTATCAGTACAGCAACATTGACATATTTATAAAGTGATTGAATTAAATCAGATTTACCCAGTTCACCTATGATAATAAGTCAAGAGAAGTGATTAGCAGAATGCTGAGTTGGGAGCATATTTGTATGCAGTTTTAGCCCACCATCAGGCTATGAGACACCCTGAGTGCAGGAAGTGCTGGTCAATTACAAAACAAAATATTTTGCACAAATAATTCCTCCCATTACTGGAAAAAGTTATGATCACTGTTTAGGATTATAATTCTAACTCATGCCATGCACAAGAGTCCCAGTTAGTTCTTCAAATCCAGTATGGTCTCTAATTTGGAATTTACTCTGAGATCTCACTAGATAGGTGGGGAGACTTTATTCTGCATGATTTTATGCCCACCTGCCGCTATTTAGAATGGGCCCTGATCCCAAGCCCACTGAAATTCAAGGCCATATTTCCAGTAAGTTGAGTTTCCTTCAAATAAGGCCCTGAAGGTTGCAATCCTCTCCTCCAGACAGGGACAGCAAAAAGACTATGCCCCATTTAGATTCCTCTTAAACATTCAAAGTACTGCTAAAGGCAATTGAAGCGGAGCGGAGGTCTCTAGGCTGGCCCACTACTCTAGGGTTAATTTCATTCTACCCAGGGGTGGCTCCATGTTTTTTGCTGCCCCAAACACGGCAGTCAGGCTGCTTTCGGCGTCGTGCTTGCGGGAGGTCCGTCGGTAATGCGGATTTGGCGGCATGCCTGCGGGAGGTCCGCCAGTCCCGTGCCTTCATCGTACCTGCCGCCAAATTGCCGCCGAAGCCACGGGACCAGTGGACCTCCCACAGGCATGCTGCCGAAGGCTGCCTGACTGCCGCCCTCACGGCGACCGGCACGCCACCCCCGGCACACACTTGGTGCGCTGGTGCCTGGAGCCACCCCTGATTCTACCATGCTTAGGAACTTAACTGTGAAGGGACCTACAGTCCTGGGAGTCTGGAATCAACCCATATCACATTTCTGCACTTTACACGAGCTGGAAATCTGGCTCTCTCTTTCAAGTAACATGTTGCTAGGCATTCCAGCTCTAACTGTTCTGTGTATTCTTTTTTTCTTTGTAGGAAAAGCATCCTCAATTCTTTAGGCATGTCTGTACGTTTTTTTAGCAGGCTCTTCTGACTCTACTTGAAAGCTCCGGTGTCAAATGAGAAAACATTAAGACCCAAAAGCCAAGAATTTCAAAAGTGACTGGTGATTTCTGATGCCTGCTTGAGGCAGGGAACTGAGTAGGAACTGAGCATTTTGGAAAACTGGGAATAACAAGGTGGGTGATGTTGGACACCAATATCACTAGGGACTTGTGTTTAACCACAAGTGAAATTGGGTAAATTGATAACCTCCCCCTCTTTCATCTCCCCATATGGGAAAAGGGTGGTGATCATAAATTACTCATTCTGGGGAGATTCCAATCTACTTATCCATATGAGAATATTGCACAGTGCCTACTAACACAGTAGCTAAACCTTTCCTAGGTGAACTTCTCTGACAGAGGTGCTTCTGGGTATTATTGCACAAAAGATATAGGACCAGAGGAACTACTGAGCAATTTCTATGTGCCTGGATATCCAAAGAGATTTCTCTAGTAAGCTTCATAGAGTGTTTTGTTCTTCCTGCTTCCCTGGTAATAGGTAACTATTCTAGGGAGGTACATAGCAGTTAAAAAAACATTCTGAGGATGGTGGTGTCGATTTCTAAAAGAGAAGGAAATTGCATCCTGTACTAAGGTAGGTCAGATTCTTGATTAGTCTTATTTCTCCTGGAAGCTCATTCCTCAACCATGCCCCCGCGGGTTCCCCATGACTAAGTAGACTAAGTTATTTCCATCTCTCATGGTATTTTTCCCAGGCTTTGTCAGGAACATTGCCCCTGAAGAACAACACTGACTTGTTAGGTTATGAATGCAGGTGCAGTTCAAAGATTTTAATCCTAAACCTTTAAACAACACTGCACTAATTCCTTTCATCTACTGCCACTTTTTCATGCAACTCAGGGAAATAACTACAGTAAGCAAGGCTTGTGTATTCAATTTTGTTCATCACCTGAGTCCTTGATTCTAAAGCACTGATCATGTCTTCAGCCTGGAATGTCTAAGCGCATTAGACTGAGTGTTATCTCTCGGCACAGCTAGAACACAAAAGAATATGGACCATTTTGACATTGCTTCAGCTCTACTTTGAAGGCTTAGCAGGTATTGAAATTGTTCATACATCATGTATTGGTCGTGAATCCAGGAGAGTATTGTAACCCATAGGCCTGGTTTGAAGGCCATTGCATTGATTGGAAAGACATCCATGGATTTCAAAAGCACGTTGGCACAAACACATAGTGAATAGTTATGGATAAGTATTCCAAGCACGCTAAGAAATACCTCCCAACCTCCAAGGAGTGCCAAGGTTAAACTCCACCTTGCCGCTAATTAGATACTAGTCTGGATACAAAGAACTAACATGGAATCCTGTGCATGACAGCAGATTGTGCTAGTGATACACCTCTGAGTCACCCTCATACTCTGAAGTTATTCAAAGCAGAATTAAAGAAACGGAGCTAGATTTAGTCCCATGTTGACACCAAGAAAGTCAGTGGGATGATAACATGAAGATATCAGGACCATAAAGATTCAAGATGAAAGGGAACTGCCAGTAGCATCATGCATGTCATCCTATGTGGGTCTGTGAATTGAATAGTCATCATTAACCATGATCAAAGCCACTACAATAATTAGAGGAGTTGCACATTCAAGAAAATAGTTTATTGGGTTAATGACATGGTCCAAGTGCATGGAGGGTGTCTACTATCCTTCCCATTGGCTAAGAAGGTGTATAAAAGTGCCTGCAACTCTAGGTTCTTCTATCCACTTCTCTCGACCCCTTCTCCTTGGTGAGCTTGGTAAGTCTAGTTGGCTCCAATTGATCCAATTGTTGCTTTAGTGAATGTTTTAACTTGGAACTAAATCCTGCTCTAATATGATGTGATTTTAGAAATGTTGGGACGGGGGCATCTTTCTTTGCATAGGAGTCTTTCTGTAGCTAGTCAATTGCAGGTATTGGTAGAGGCTGTCTTTTCAAAATATCTGGTTGGGATTTTCAAATTGACATATGGGATTTGGACCCAATTCCCCAAAATTATAATTTGAGATTGGACATGGAAATTCCTTGCAGAATTATGAGCAATCTCAGCCTCCGTCTACTTTGATAATAGTCCTCACTACTCTGACTCTTTATCTATGAATACACATCGCCAGATCTACAGCTGACTTCATTGGAGTTACAAAGGTTTACCCGGGTGATGATCTGTCTCTACCGTTTCCATAAAACTATGGAGATTAGATTTCAAATATAATGACTGAAAGCAGTTCTACGGTTCTTTTTCAGATATAGTTATAGATATAGAAACAACTCAGAGTATATATATATATATATATATATATATATATA